CGTTAGGAAGGGTCTAAGTAGCGGTGAGAGTAGTTAAAAGCACGTCCGGCCGCTATTAACACGGCGATTAACACGTTTATTAATTATCTATTATCTAATATTCTATTATCCTATTATTATATTAAACCGTGAATCCGTTACAGCAATTATTATAGCAATCGTATTAAACGCTATAGAATAATTCACCCGAATTTTCGAGTATATCCCGCAGTACTATATCGTAGTTTACCAAGTTTATAGCTATAGTATTACTAAAACGCAGTTACAAATACATTTAACTAAGCACTACTAGGAATTAATATTAGCAACACGAAAATCTATATAAGAGGCCGTAGCAGATATAGAAGATTGGGCCTAGAATAATAGGTAGGTTGTTTTCCTAGCACCTACCGCTAAACCCGTGCTATATTTACCTATTTAGTATAACGGATTAAAATGTTTAGGAACCTATAAAAACAACCAGCCGTGTAGAGCTATAGTGCGCAGTTTGCAGAATATACAGACCTATTATAAAAAGGAGTATAGGTAGGAAAATCCGCGAAAGCGAGGATATTATTACTAAAGGCAGCAGAGTATTATACAGCGGGCGAAGATATAGGAAGTTAGCGTGTATTGCTAGAAATTTAGCAGTAAGGCGTTGTTGGCCCGATTATTCCAGGTAAACGCGCACAACCCAGCCGCTAAGAGAGAAGAATAGAAGAATCCTATCTAGAAGGTATTAGAGGCCGTATTTACACAGGCAATAATTAATATTAAGAGAGCTAATAAGGAAGCGAGCAGTTAGATCTAGGCCGACGATAACCGATTCGAGGTTAATATATAGTTAAACTGCGCCGGATAGGTAAAGTATTTAAAGAAATTAGATAGCGAGTGGTTAGAGTTATTAATGCGCAAGCCCGAGAAGAGAGAGGGAGCGTTGGCCAATTTGTGTTTTGCAGTTAAGATAGTAATTTAGAAGGCGCAGCAAGCATCTAAAGCCAGCGTAGTTGGATTAGCAGCTATAAATTATATTAATTAACGTGAAACCGGCAATAAAACAAATAAGAAGCTGTTTAGCATATACTAGACAGGTAAGATAATAGTTAAATACAGCGTATATTAGTTGGCTATTATCTATTATATTTAGAGAACCCGCAGAATAGAGCCGATTTATAGTAAGGAGATAGAAAAGTTGGAGAGTAAGGGCAATATCTAGAACTAAAGGCTAGTATTTAGGTTAATAGGTAAACAGGGGTTAGTATTAGCAAAGATTAAAATAATAGTAGGGCAGGATAAAAAGGAGGATAGTAATAATAGTAATATTAGCAACAATAGTAGTAATAGCAACAACAGTTATATAATTAACGAGGAGGAGTAAAAAAGGTTAGAGAAGGCTGTTTTAGCATTTATATTAGCGTTATTAGACCACCTGTTTACGGATAACAAGTATACCAGCGCATTAATTAGCGGTATAGCCGTTTTAGGTATTAGCTAGCAATGCGGTTAGGAAAGCGCGTTAATATACACGCCTAAGATTGCAGCTATTATTAATATATCCCGTATATTGGTTTTATATTAGGCTATAAAAATGCGTAAAAAGCGCGCGGCGGATATACAATAGAAGGAGCATTTTAGCTAGAAAAACGCCGAGGAAATAGCGCCGGCGCATTTTAAATTTATATAAGAGATAGCAGACCGGTTTATAATATTAGTTTAATATAGCGGAATACTGCACCCTATAGATTAGTTGCAGCGGTTAAAGGCGTATAGGATAAAGATCCGGTACACTACTAATACCGAGGGCGTAATTAAGTAGATGGACGATATATTATTATATAGTAATATTCGATTTAGTATACCCTAGTTGCGTTTAATAGTCTATAGGTTAGTAGAGACAGCCTGGGTCGAGTTGCACCGGGATTTATTATTATTAGAAGAGGTTAATTAAGTTATACAGGGGCCGTTAAGTGGATAGAAAGCTGTTGCATTGCCAGCTATTAATTGGGCGCATTTAGTAGATAACCTAGCCGAGCAATAGTTAGGATAGAGTTTTATTAAGAACCCGCAAAATTAAGAGTTAGGATTTAGGGGCGTGTATAGAAAGAGGTGGTTAAGTAATTAGGTTAGCTAGGAGCAGAAGATTAGGAAGAGGTTTATTAATATTAGAGCTAGCAACCCAGCAGCCGCTATAGCAGTAAAAGGTAAGCAAGGGTTAGTATAGAAGAGGAAGAAGATTAAAAAGTATACACGAGCAATACAAGTATTCCGGCAGTATTTAGCAGCGTTAGTGTATATAATAGGTGGGTTGCCAGCGCGTGGAATAGAGTTAATAATAGTGCAGTATCGAAACAGCCTAAATAGTAATAGTAGAGGGATTTTTATTAAAAACGGGTTAGTAGTATATATAACAGCATACTATAAAGGTATAGGAGTTAGTGGAAAGGCTAAAGTTATCTACTAATATTTGCCACGCGCAGTAGGTAAATTAGTAGTATATTATTTATAGTTAGTATTACTATTTTAGCAGAGGTTAGAGAGTGTATAGGGCGGTTAACTAGCAAAGATTAGTCTATTTATATAGGAGCCCGAGCCCGAAAAGGGTTGGATAATACTATAGAGGAAGCGGAGGCGGGTTTAAATTAATAATATAGCAAGCGCAGAAAATAAAAAGGATAAAGAAGAGGAGAATAAAAAGAAGAATAAAGAGTAAGGAGAAGAAGAATGCAAAGCAATAGAAGAAACCGAAAACATTGCCAAGGATAAAGGGGGAAAAAACACAATTCTGTTACCTATCCCACAGCGGTAAATAGAACCAGCCCTCGTTCTATTTATTTATTAAGGATAGAAAATACCAGACCAAGGCGTAGATTTAGGCACGGGGCTTATTCTATTTATTTTTCAGAGGCAGGTTCTATTTATGTCCCGCAGCCGGAATTGCACCAAATTTTAGTATATTATTCAGCGTATTTAGTTGCACCCCCTAGCCGATTTGCATTAGGTTAACCCGTGTGGTTGGTTAGGGTTAGGTGGAAGTTGTGGTGTTCGCAGAACCGCCGCAACCGCAACTAAGCGCGCAGTAGAACACTACCAGCCGTGGCTATATACACCACACGAATATTAGCAGCAGCACCGAACTAATGCCTATAGGAGGCAGGCGTGGTTAATATCTAATAATAGCGTATTAGGTGCAGGCAAGGAAGGTATAGCAGTAAATAAGGTAGCTACGGGCCCAATTTTTAGTTGGGGACGAGAACTTTAAGCCCGGATATATATATTAGCGCAGATCCTATGCAGTTATATATAGATCCCGCGCAGGCATAGTTATATTATAAGTTAGGCTATAGTTATAATAGTTTAGCGGGTGGTTAAGGTAATTAGCAACTGCAGCAACTATGGCAGCGAGGCGAAAAGGGGGTGGAAATTGCACCCAGCAACCTATAAGTAGCACTTATCGCCGCCTATTAAATATTAAGCAAGAGTTAATTCCAGAGGCAGACTAAGTGTTTAAAATAGCTAAATCCAGTACTAAAAGCAGGTATTTTAAGCATTTAGCCGAATTCCAATTAGCTATTTGCAAGGAGTGCAGGTATAGCGTATAGCTAGACCAGATTAAAGGCTATTTATAAAAGATCCACAAGGTACCGCGCAAAGAGGCCGATTTAATTAGAGAAGGTGTGCGCAAATAGCCCGGAGTTATCTAGTATCCGAGTAAGTTTAAAATGCCGGACAGTATTATAGCGCCAGTTAGCCAGTTGCCGTTGTATTCGGATGGATTATTATATTAACTAGAACCAGGCTATTACTGTTATATATCGCGGAGCATTAGGGTAATAAGGAAGTATTAGTAAAAGATCTATAGGTGGTTAGCAGGAAGGAAGCTAGGATAGCTAAGTTAATTAGGAGAAAAGAGGGTGCAGGCACGCATTAAAAAGGTATTTAAACACGTCTATTGCTAGCGGTTTTTTGTATAAGGCCACGGATTACAGTATTTTAAAGTGCGATAACCCAGGCAAGGCCAGGAAGCCAGGCCAGAACCTGTTCCCGTTGACGGCAAGATTATATAGGCGCAGTTAGGGAAGAAGATAGCAGAGGTATAGGCAAATATAGAGAAGCGAGTCCAAATAACTATCTAGGCCGGCGAGAAAGACAAAGTAAACCTGTGGTTAGAGCGGACGCAGTAGTTACCGTATTTAGTAGGCATAGAGAGGCCGGATTTATTAGCATATATTAAGGAGCTAAACGCAGACCTAAAGTAGGAAAAGGAACCTGTTAAAGCCGCAATTTAGGAGGCTATAAACAGGTTAGCGCGGTTTAGCCAGGCGTTAGTTATTAATCGAGTCGGCGTATTTATATAGTTAGAGGCAATTCGAATAGAAAAGCACTAGATGCGGTACTAGCCGTTACAGCCGTATATAGATAAGAAGTCGATTAGCAAATACACCCGGCTGTGGAAGCAGATATTAATGTTTTTTACCCGTACGCAGCGCGAGCACAAGTAGGAGAGCCCTAAGTACCGGTTTACGCGGCGGCAGTAAGAGGCATAAAAGGCGTTAATTAAGCAGGCCAAGCAAGAGGTAGAAGGAGAAGATAAAACAGAAGAGGAGGAAGAGGATAAGATAGAAGAGGAGGAGGATAAAATAGAAATTAATAAAATAGATAGCGATAAGGAGCAGGAAACAGGAGATAGCAGGCCTAAGAACGCCAGCAGTAAGCTAGAAGGGTTAACAGGCATCTAGAAGGCATGTTTGCAGTTTTATATTAAGTTACTAAACTAATCCATTACCTATAAGGAGTATAATAGCCCGTTAGTATGTGTATTAGCGGTGTTAGGTGTTAAGGAGAACGGCTGGAAGGGCCCCGAGTTGTATCCGCCCATTTTATTAGCCGTTATTAAGGTCACCCGTTTTATAGTAGTTTAGCAAGCGTTAGAGTTGTTAGAGCCGTTTTAAAATAGCGAGTTCAACAGCAATAGTGCGTACGAGAGCGACAACAGCAGCACGCTATCCCGGCAGCGGCGGAAAAGATGTTTACAGTTTGTTTAAGAGATAATAGATAAGTTTATAGTTTAAGGAAGCCACGGGCTAATATAGTAGATGTTAGATTTGCGGATATACGGGTTAAAGATCTATTATAACAGCATATTAAGAGGCTATATTAAATAGATAGGCTATAATAAGTTGTTGTATAAGGGGTTGCATTTTAATATAGCCTAGTTCCGCAGTATAGTACACGGGTTAGTTATAGAGAGCCGATAGTTGTTGTTGGAAGAGCTGTTGTTTTTTAATAGCGGGATTTCAGCATATACACATGCTGAAATCCCGCTACCTAGTAAACGGAACAAGACAACTAATTAAGTGCCCGTAATTTTATAGAGTGAATTGCGGGACAATCTAATAGATAAGCGACCGGGATGGAATTTTTTAAAGGACTATTAAACGCGGTTGCCCGTTAATAGAGAGATGTGGTTATTTAATTATATCGGACGCGATCCTGTAACCTAAGGAAGGTTTTTAAAGGCAGAATACCGCTCGGGTATTAATTAACGAGGAGTTAAGCAGTATATATCACGCGTAATTAAATTCCGAGAGAAGTTAATTATATTAATATATATATTAGGGGGGCAGCCAGCATAAGAACCTAAGGTTTTAAGCGTTTAGCACAGTAATATAGTAAAGGGCGGGCATTGCAATATATTTATCGAGGACAGTATAGTAGTATTTATAACGCAATACTATAAGGGTTACGCAGTTAGTAGTGATATTAAGATTATCTATTAATATATACCGCGCAAGGTGGAGGAGTTATTAGTATAGTATTTATAGTTAGTGTTGCCGTTTTAGCAGCAATTAGAGGCAATAGTATAGGAGAAAGAGGTAATATTATTGTATTTATAGCCGGCCGACCTAAGCGGGCGTAAGTAGACGTCGGAATAGTTATAACAGGCGTTAAAGCGCAAAAGCAGGGTTAGGTTAGGGCAGGAGCTAACTATCTAGTTATACCGTGAAATTGCTATTAGTATTAGCAGAAGGTTTATACGCGGTTTAACGGCGTTTAGGGCAGAGGACAACAATAATAACAAGGAGTAGAATAAGGAGAATATAGCAGCAGTAATTGCAGACGAGCAGGCCGGGTATATATTGCATGTTGCCGGGTTAGTGTATGCGCGAGCAATTATAGAGCAGGCAGGAGCGGTGGCCGATAAAAGGCAGCAGTTCCGGGTATTAAGCATAGATTAGCATTGGTTTTTAGGATATTAGTCGGCTGTTAATAACAAGTTTATATTAAAGAAGCGGAAGCGGGCTCTATTTAAAAGCAAAGCAGATAAAGGTTAAAAAGATTAATAGGCGCAGTTAAGGAAGATAGATATAGCGGCATAGTTAAAGCGGATAATAGGTATAGAGGCGGTGTTCCGAGGCGTGCAGAAGAACGCAATTGCGATAATCACGGCAGGCAAGAGCCTAGTAGTAGCAGTAATACCAACTAGTATAGGAAAGAGCTTGTTGTTTATATTGCTAGCGTGGGCAGAGCAGGGTGGAATAATAGTAGTTATAGTGCTGTTAATTGCATTATAAGGGGATATAAAGCGGCAATATAAGAAGCTAGGTATTTTATATAAGGAATAGGAAGGACGGCACCCTTTAGATGCGGCAGCCGTTGTATTAGTAACGCCGGAATCCGCCGTTAGTAAGGGATTTATAACATTTTTAAATCGATTAAAAGCAACGCAGCAGCTAGATCGGATTATTATTAACGAGTATTATATTGTTTTAAACTGTTAATATATATTCCGGAAGTAGATGCAGCAGTTAGGTAAGCTGGTGGCGGCCGAGATGTAGATAGTATTATTAACCGCAATATTGCCGCCGATAGAGAAAGGGGAATTATATTAAAAAATGCATTTCTAGAAGGAGTAGGTGAAGATGTTTAGGGCGAGGACGGCATAAGTAAATATAGCGTATTATATAGTTTAAGTAGATAGAGAAGGAAAATAGGAGATAGAGGAAGCGGTTTTAGGGATAATTTAAAGGAAAATTTAGAGGATTTAAACCGGGAAGGTAGTAGTATATAGTAGCATAGTTAGAAAAGTAAAAAGGATAGCGCAGGCGTTGGATTGCAGCGCGTATTACTATAACGCAGTAGGTAAAGTAAGTATATTAAGCGAGTTTATAGACGGCAAGCAACGGGTAATTATAGTAATAAGCGCGTTGGGTATAGGGGTAGATATACCGGATATTCGGTGCATTATATATATAGATCGGCCGCGAATGTTGTTGGATTATATATAGGAGAGTAGCAGGGCAGGGCGGGATAAATTGCGGAGCAAGGCGATTATAGTTAAAGAAGGGGGTAAAAGGAAAGGTAAAGGAGATAGGTAGATAGAAGAAAAGCGGCGGTTAGTAGGGTTATATATAGAAGGGGAAGGTAAGGTAGAGAAATATAGAAGGATTGTATTAGACGGGTATTTAGACGGGCAAGGGGATAGAAATAGGTGTAAGGAAGGCGAAAAGTTATATAATATTTGCGGCGGAGTAGAAGAAGAGGTGGAAGAGGTGGAAAAAGAAATAGAAGAGGCCGAGGAAGAGGTTAAAGAAGAGGTGGGCGGGCAAGCGGTGCAGGAGGAGAATAACAAGGTTATATAAAAGGAGATATAGCGCGAGTTCTAGTAATAGGAGCAGGAGAAACAGGGCCCGCAGCAGGATTTAATTTAGGGTAGACAACAAGAGTTTACAGAGGTGGAATAGTTGCAGTAGTAGTTGCAGCAGTAGGCAGGGCGATGCAGAGTATATAAAGCAGCGGGTTTAGGGCGGAGCAATTATAATTTGCGGCAGTGTTAGAGGTAAGAGAGTTAATAGGCAAAGGAGATAGTAAAGATGTTAGAGGGGAGGATTAAGTTTAAGGTATTTTCGGGTTGTTTTTAGTATAGGGTGCTATAAGAGATTTGCAATTAATAGAAGAGTAATAGATAGGGTAGGTATTAGAAGGTTTAAGGCAGGTGTTGCTAGTATACAGGTGTAGTAATGGCCGGGTTTATTAGGTTAATATTTAGGTATAAAACGGAGGTTTAGGAGCGTTAGAGGCGCCGGATAGGGGAGATAGGAGTGGATATAGATTCGGACGAGGAGTTAGTTAGTTATTTAGGAGGGAAACGGCAGTTAGAAGTAGTGGAAAGTAATAATTTAGTAGGAGAGTTTTGTTGGATTACCAGGTTAATAGTAGAGTAGGTAGAATAGTAGAGAAATATATATTTTTAAGGAAAAAAATAATATATAATAAATATAATATAAAAATTAAATAGGATAGGATTAGTTTAAAAGGTGTATTATATTATTTAGAGGTTATAAAAAGATAAATTAGGTAAAAATAATTCTATTAACCTATAGGTAAAACATATCGTGGCATATGCTATATTATAATTTAAAACTGAACCGTGCGCTGCAACAATATAATTTAGAAACGAAAATCAAATCATACCGTGGCAAACCCCAACCGAATTTGCTGGTTCCAACGCTGTAGGCAAGTTATCGACCATTGCGCATTAAATGCACCATTCGGATTAACGATGCGACCGTTGGATTATGTTGTCGTCGTCGCGTTGGGGTAGTTAGGGTTGTAATAATATTCGTGGCCGTGCGCAGCGATCGCAGTTAAGGCGCGAACGTAGGAGGGTAGTTAAGTACCCAAAGTTCGTAATAGATGTAGTCGTTGTAAGCTATTTGCAAGCCCTAGGTACCCGGAAATTAGGACCCACTATGCCACCAGTTGCACCTAGGCATGCAAGGTTGTAGATGGATCCCCCAGATGCATAGTTAAGTAACGGGTGTAATAATCTAGGTGGCTAAGAGCAGGAGGCGTTAGGAAGGGTCTAAGTAGCGGTGAGAGTAGTTAAAAGCACGTCCGGCCGCTATTAACACGGCGATTAACACGTTTATTAATTATCTATTATCCAATATTCCATTATCCTATTATTATATTAAACCGTGAATCCGTTACAGTAATTATCGTAGCAATTGTATTAAACGCTATGGAATAATTCACCCGAATTTTCGAGTATATCCCGCAGTACCGCATTGTAGTTTGCCGAGTTTGTAGCTACGGCATCACCAAAACGCAGTTATAAATGCATTTAACCAAGCACTACTAGGAATTAACATTAGCAACATAAAAATCTATATAAAAGGCCGTAGCAGATATAGAAGATTGGGCCCAGAACAACAGGCAGGTTGTTTTCCCAGCACCTACCGCTAAACCCGTGCCGTATTTACCTATTTAGCATAACGGATTAAAATGTTTAGGAACCTATAAAAACGACCAGCCGTGTAGAGCTATAGTGCGCGGTTTGCAGAATATGCAGACCTATTATAAGAAGGAGCATGGGTGGGAGAATCCGCGAAAGTAAGGATGTTATTACTAAAGGCAGCAGAGCATTATGCAGCGGGCGAAGATGTGGGAAGTTGGCGTGTATTGCCAGAAATTTAGCAGTAAGGCGTTGTTGGCCCGATTGTTCCAGGTAAACGCGCACAACCCAGCTGCTAAGAGAGAAGAATAGAAGGATCCTATCCAGGAGGTATTAGAGGCCGCATTTACACAGGCAATAATTAACATCGAGAGAGCCGATAAGGAAGCGAGCAGTTAGATCCAGGCCGACGACAACCGATTCGAGGTTAATATATAGTTGAACCGCGCCGGATAGGCAAAGCATTTAAAGAGATTAAATAGCGAGTGGTTAGAGTTGTTAATGCGCAAGCCCGAGAAGAGAGAGGGAGCGTTGGCCAATTTGTGTTTTGCAGTTAAGATGGTAATTTGGAAGGCGCAGCAAGCATCTAAAGCCAGCGTGGTTGGATTAGCAGCTATAAATTATATTAATTAACGTGAAACCGGCAACAAAATAAACGAGAAGCCGTTTAGCGCACGCCAAACGGGCAAGACAATAGTTAAATACAGCGCGTGTTAGTTAGCTATTATCCGTTATATTTAGAGAACCCGCAGAATGGAGCCGATTTGCAGTAAGGAGATAGAAGAGTTGGAGAGTAAGGGCAATATCCAGAACTAGAGGCCAGTATTTAGGTTAACAGGCAAACAGGGGTTAGCGTTGGCAAAGATCGAGATAATAGTAGGGCAGGATGAAGAGGAGGATAGCAATAATAGTGATATTAGCGACGACAGCAGTGATAGCAACGACAGTTATGTAATTAACGAGGAGGAGCAAGAGAGGTTAGAGGAGGCCGTTTTAGCATTTATATTAGCGTTGTTGGACCACCCGTTTACGGACAACAAGTACACCAGCGCATTAATTAGCGGCATAGCCGTTTTAGGCATTAGCTAGCGATGCGGTTGGGAAAGCGCGTTAATATACACGCCTAAGATTGCAGCTATTGTTAATATATCCCGCATGTTGGTTTTATATCAGGCTATAAAAATATATAAAGAGCGCGCGGCGGATATATAACAGAAGGAGCATTTCAGCTAGAAAAACGCCGAGGAAATGGCGCCGGCGCATTTTGAATTTGTGCAAGAGATGGCAGACCGGTTTATAACGTTGGTTTGATATAGCGGAATACTGCACCCCGTGGATTAGTTGCAGCGGTTAAAGGCGTATAGGATAAAGATCCGGTACACTACTAATGCCGAGGGCGTAATTAAGTGGATAGATAATATATTATTATATGGTAATATTTAATTTAGCATGCCCTAGTTGCGTTTAATAGTCTACAGGTTAGTGGAGACAGCCCGGGTTGAGTTGCACCGGGATTTATTATTGTTGGAAGAGGTTAATTAAGTTGTACGGGGGCCGTTAAGTGGACAGGAAGCTGTTGCATTGCCAGCTATTAATTGGGCGCATTTAGTAGATAACCCAGCCGAGCGATAGTTGGGATGGAGTTTTATTAAGGACCCGCGAAATCAAGAGTTGGGATTTAGGGGCGTGCATGGAAAGAGGTGGTTAAGTAATTGGGTTAGCCAGGAGCAGAAGATTAGGGAGAGGTTTATTAATATTAGAGCCAGCAACCCAGCAGCCGCTATAGTAGCAAAAGGTAAGCAAGGGTTAGCATGGAAGGGGAAGGAGATTAAGAAGTATACATGAGCGATGCGAGTATTCCGGCAGTATTTGGCAGCGTTGGTGCACATAACGGGTGGGTTGCCAGCGCGTGGAATAGAGTTAATAACGGTGCAGCATTAAAATAGCCTAAATAGCGACAGTAGGGGGATTTTTATTGAGGACAGGTTAGTGGTATATATAACGGCATACTATAAAGGTATAGGAGTTAGTGGAAAGGCCAAGGTTATCCACCGATATTTGCCACGCGCGGTGGGCGAATTGGTGGTGTATTATTTGTAGTTGGTGTTGCTATTTTGGCAGAGGTTAGAAAGTATATAGGGCGGTTAACCAGCAGAGATCAGTCTATTTATATGGGAGCCCGAGCCCGAAAAGGGTTGGATAATGCTATAGAGGAAGCGGAGGCGGGTTTAAATTAATAATGCAGTAAGCGCAGAAGATAAAGAGGATGAAGAAGAGGAGGATAAAGAGAAGGATAAAGAGCAAGGAGAAGAAGAATGCAAAGCAATAGAAGAAACCGAAAACATTGCCGAGGATAAAGGGGGAAAGAACACAGTCCTGTTACCTGAGAAATAGAATTCCAACCGTTTAAAGATGGCATTGCAAGGAGTGTTGTTGCGATAGATAGGGGTTAAGTTGAATATTATAGCATGGAGACACGGCACTAAGGCTATATACCGTCGATATATTAATTCTAAGGCGGTTGTAAAGGCGGTGGTGCAGGGCGATAAGGACGATTTAGATAACAAAGATAAAGCATTTAACATCCAGACCGGCTATAGATCCAGGATTAGAGGGGGAATATACGGTCGGTTGATTACAGAGTCGATATTTAGCACCGAGGTAAGGAGGGCACAGTTGCGGAGGGTTAGCACAGAGTGGCATCGGTTTTTGCAGTTCCCGTGCGCGATGCAGACTAAGCTAAAGAAAGGAACCCGCGCGGCAGCTAACAGAAAGGAGGCTATTAAGGAGGAATATCGACGGTGGAAGATAATAAGATTGGTGGATATAGAGCAGCAGTTAAAAGCGTTGGTAGGCGAAAAGGCCGAATTTTAGGGCGTGTAGAGACTAGCATTAAAGGCTATTATATACTATAAGAGCCCGGTAGTTGCTATTATAGGCACAGGTGGAGGCAAGAGCATGTTGTTTATGTTGCCAGCATCGTGTTCAACAGGCGTGACGGTAGTAGTTGTGCTATTGGTGTTGTTGCGGGAGGATATAAAAAGCCGTTGCAATAAAGCCGGCATTAGTTGCGTTGAATGGAACAGTTAAAGTCCGCAAGAATAGGCGCAGGTTGTGTTGGTTACGCCGGAGTCGGCGGTTAGGGAGGCATTTAGCAATTTTATTAACCGACAGCGGTTAATAGGATGGTTGGACCGGATTGTAATTAACAAATACTACGTAATTTTGGATTTAGTAGGCGGGTGGAGGAGCAGGATATTGGCGTTAAGGAATTTGGTTATAATAGAAACGTAGTTAGTGTATTTAACGGCAACAATCTAGCCCTAAGAAGAGGAGGAATTTATTCGATTAATAGGGTTACCAGCCAGGGAAGAATACCAGTGGTTTCGGGGGCCAACAACGCGGAAAAATATTATATACCGCATTTAACAATACAATATGCAACAGGAAGAGGACGCAGTTGTTAAGTTAGTAGAGAGTTTAAAGCAGAAGCACGCGGGGGGGCAGGTAATTATATATTGCAACACGGTAAAGAAGACAATTCGATTGGCAGAAGTTTTAGAGTGCGTTTGTTTCCACCGAAATATAGGAAGCAGTAAGGAGAAGAGCGAGTTGGTAAAGCAGTTAACCGAAGGGTAATAGCAGGTGTTCACGGCCACGAACGCATTGGGGTTGGGTATTAATGCGCCAATAATTCGAGCGGTAGTGCATGTTGGAACAATTCGAAAAATGCGGCATTACGCGCAGGAGAGCGGAAGGGCAGGGCGTGATAGGCGGAAGAGTAAAGCAATAATTATGCACGGATTCCGAATAGATAAAAGGGGCGTTGTTTATAAGCAGGATTTTAGGAAGGACGTTAAGGAGGAAATACAGGGATTTATTATAGGTAGGGGTTGTATAAAAAAGATAATTAACAGTGCAATAGATAGGAACTAAGAGCGAGTAGAATACAAAGAGGGGGAACAGAGATATTAGCAATATTAAGCGCGTTTAGGGGTAGCGGTTAATAAAGAGGAGGCAGTTATAGAAGCCGAAGCAATAACTAATATAGTAGTCGCTAATAGGGATACAGATAAGATTGTTTCGATTAATTGGGATATACGCGCCAGCATAATAGTTGCAATTAAGGACGCTGATAAGCCCGACGACGATGCATAGGGCGTTACTACAGCAGACAGCGTGTTAGGGGTACCACCAGCAACGCCCCGGATGGAAAAGAAGGCAGTTGCAGAGAGAGTGGAATTTGAGCAGCAGTTGTCGGTTTAAAAGGTATAAGCAATTGGAGAGGCAAGTTTACAGTCGACAGAAGCGTTAGAGATGGATAGATTGGTTAAATTAATAGAGCAGTGGAAGGTGGGTTGCCAGTAATATTGGGCATAGGAGGAAAGGAGTAAGGGGCACGATATTTGGCATTGCGATAAGCCGGAAGCAGAGAATATTCGGGTAGTAATTAAGATGTTTCGAGAAAAGATAAACCCGATAAAGGAGGCGCAAGGGAAGGGGGCGAAGATGTTGTAGGCACCGTTTTTAGGGTGTTAGGAGTGCGGATTGCTACAGGGGGTTTGCGTAAGTTATAAAGAGGATATAATGCGGGGAGGGTGGCAGAAGTAAAGGGGAAAGAAGTGTTAGTATAAGGGAGTATTGGCAGCAGCGGTGTATGCAGTGTAGGTGCGGTATCCTAAGGAGTTTAGAGATTTCGTTAAGGAGGAGATGTAAAAGAGGGGGTGGAAAGAAGGCAGCAACAGGGATTAGGGGAGCGTGTTATAATAGTTTAGCGGGAAGGTTTAATAGGGTGGATTAAAGTTAAATTAAATATATTAGGGATTTATTAGATTTATAGAACAGGTTAGGAGATAGGAAGTTTAGGGTTATTAGAGTTTTAAAGGGGGGGTAGGTGGGTGCCCGTATAGGGTTAAGGGAAGGCGGCGGCAGCAAATATTTAAAGTAGGATAAGAAAGCAAGTGTTAAGTATAGAGTAAGAGTTTAAAAGAGTTTGTTTTTAAAAGGGGGGGGTAGGTGGGTGCCTGTATAGGATTAGGGAAAGGCGGCGGCAGCGGATGTTTAGAGTAGAGTATAGAAGTAAGAGGGAAACGTAGAGTTAGAGTTTAAAAGGGGTGTTTTTTAAAAAGAGGGGGTAGGTGGGTGCCCGTGTGGGGTTAAGGAAAGGCGGCAGCAGCAAATATTTAAAGTAGGATAAGAAAGCAGGTGTTAAGTATAAAGTAAGAGTTTAAAAGGGGTTGTTTTTAAAGAGGGGGTAGGTAGGTGCCCGTGTGGGGTTAAAGGAAGGCGGCGGCAGCAAATGTTTAAAGTAGGACAAGAAAGCAAGTGTTAAGTATAGAGTAAAAGTTTAAAAGAGTTTATTTTTAAAAAAGGGAGGTAGGTAGGTGCCCGTGTAGGATTAGGGAAAGGCGGCGGCAGTGGATGTTTAGAGTAGAGTATAGAAGTAAGAAGGAAACGTAGGGTTAGGGTTAGGGTTAGGGTTAGGGTTAGGGTTAGGGTTAGGGTTAGGGTTAGGGTTAGGGTTAGGG